AAAGAAAGGACTTGCAACTCCCAACTATAAAGCCCCGTCTTGTATGTAGATGATCAGAGCAGTCCATAAGGTTCCCTTGATTCGTAAATTTTCACTAGTAAAGACATAAATACTTTGGCGGAACTAATGATTTAATTGCTAGTCGCTGACCCAAAACAAAAAAAGGATTGATTGAACAATAGTGAGAAAATTGTAATTTTTTTTATATTTGAACAATTTTTTAAAATTAGGCCTTGTCAACTCCACCCATCACATGTGAAGAATCAGATAATGGAGAACCAAGTTCCTTACATTTTAAGAACTTTGGTATTTGTATGACTTAAACAAAATGAAAAGTTAGGGTGAGAAGCTTTGAGACAATAGAAACGGTTTAAAATATTACTCTAGTATCTTCAAAAGCATGATTAAAATCTTGAACTTTCATCAATTTTCTTCTTTTTTTTCTTACTTTGTATTCTTCAAGGTATGTGGCAGTCTTTTTTTCATATTTTTCGTCCTCCAAAATTTTCCTTCCTTTTTTTTTAGTATTCTCAATTTTTATATTTCATAATTTATGTGCTTCGCAACATACCAAACAAAACATTTCAAACTTCTCATTCAAGTATAACATGTAGATATCGAGAGAGATGCATGTTAACATTTGAATCAAAAGATGGGCCCCTAAGTTTAAAATTAGGTATTTTTGATGTCCTTGCATCAAAACCATGATGCTTTCTTTTTGATGTGATTGCATCACACCAAAAGTCTTCTTAAAAAATATGTGCACCACTTTTGAGTCATTTCCATATTCAAGATTTTGTTTGAAGATTTCATTAAAACACCAGCACACACACATAGCATATACTACATACATCTAAGCTTTAGCATGTAGTCCTAAATAATATAAATTATTGTGCAGAGTCCAGATGTAATTCTATATCTAGACACTATCCATATTTCACACATGTTTGACATTTATTTTATATTTAAATATATAAGATGCAGAGAAACTCGACTCGACGGCCTGATCTATTCTTTAGATAGAAGTGTCGACCATTTCAAATTCTTCATTACGGGAAAATATGATGTTTAGAGCTTTCCCATTTTTTGGGTTTATGGTTCATCATTTATCCCATTCACCCGACATTCAGCTTAGGTTAGCAAATTGGTTTGTGCGCAATGAAGAAAAAACAAGCTTCAATATATAATATATGATAGTTGATTGACTCTTTTTTCTCTTCTTTCTCGAGTAGGCTACATCCACATGTTATTTTAATCAAAGTAGTTTTATTGCACATAAATATTTTATCTAAATTTTAACAGTTTTTTTTCTAGTTAAATTTTTAGTGTTGCATAACTATATGAATTTTTCATTTTATAACTGTGTTGTACTATAATTATTTTGGAGTACATTTATGTTGTACTTTATGCTTTAACATATCATAAAAACATATGAACATATTTTGCAAACTAAACATCATGAGTTTTGCTTGAAACTCTATTTCTTTATTTTTACATGGAGTATGTGATGGTTTAGATGAATTATTTTTCAGTACAATATGATTATACACCATCTTTTTTAGAATACAACCATGTTTTACTCCATATTTTGCCGGAATAATAACATAATAGTTTAATTTGTTCTTGTAAACCTCATTTGTTTTTTTACTTTTTACATGAAATTTAAGCTAGTTTGGATTTAACTTCTGTTCAACATGATTGTACTCAACTTCTTTAAGGTATAACTATATTGTACTCCTTATTTTGACCCCTAATACATATTTTATGAACAAATTTTATAGCCAAAATATGTTGATTTGGTATTATAAACTCATTTATTGTTATTATATGATATATAAAGAAGTTTGGACACATTTTTTACTATAATATGATTGTACTTCATAGTTTGACAAAACATACATCTTATAAACATATTCTATCGCCTAAATTTGTTGATTTGTGGTTGAAATTTCATTTGTTTATTTTTATATAAAATTTAGGGCACTTTGGATGCATTTTTCTTAAGTGCAATATAGTTGTACTCCAACTTTTAGGAAGTATAATCATCTTATGCTTCATATTTTGTTATAACACATATTTTATGAACATATTCTGTAGACAAAATGCACTCATTTGTTTTTCTAAACAACATTAATTTGTTATTACATGGCCTAAAAGATAGTTTCGATGTATTTTTTTCACTGCAACATGATTTTACTTCAATTTTTTTTAAATTAAAATCATGTCATACTCCATATTTTTACATAAAATATACCTTATAAACATATTATGTAGCTTAGAATTATTGCTTTGTGATTGAAACCCCATTTGTTTGTTTTTACATAAAGTTTGGGATAATTTGGATGAATTATTCTTCAGCATAACATGATTGCACTCCAAGTTTGGACAAAAATTACACCTTATAAAGACTTATTGATTTGTAATTGAAACCTCATTTGTTTGTTTTTACATTAGAATTTTGGATAATTTGATGGCATTTTTCTTCAGCATAACATATTGTACTTCAACTTTTATGGAGTACAACAATAATGCACTTTATATTTTAGCATAGCAAATTATAAACAAGTGCAAAATTACTTAGTATTTTATGAACATATTCTGTAACCAAAATGAGCTCATTTGTTTTACATGGCTTATAGGATAGTTTAGATGCATTTTTTCACCGCAACATGATTTTACTTCAACTTTTTAAAATAAAATCATGTTGTACTCCATATTTTGACATAAAATTCATCTTATAAACATATTTTGTAGGTTAGACTTATTGATTTGTGACTGAAACCTCGTTTGTTTGTTTTTACATAAAGTTTGGGATAATTTGGATGCATTTTTTTCAGCATAACAAGATTGTACTCCAACTTTTGACATAAAATACACCTTATAAAGACTTATTGATTTGTAATTGATTTTTTTTTATTTTAACATAAAGTTTGGGATAATTTAGATCCATTTTTCTTTAGCAAAACATGATTGTACTCCAACTTTTGACATAAAATACAACTTATAAAGACTTATTGATTTGTAATTGAAACCACATTTGTTTGTTTTAACGTAAGAATTTTGGATAATTTGATGGCATTTTTCTTCAGCATAACATATTGTACTCCAACTTTTATGGAGTACAACAATAATGCACTTTATATTTTAGCATAGCAAATTATAAACAAGTGCAAAATTACTTAGTATTTTATGAACATATTCTGTAACCAAAATGAGCTCATTTGTTTTACATGGCTTATAGGATAGTTTAGATGCATTTTTTCACCGCAACATGATTTTACTTCAACTTTTTAAAATAAAATCATGTTGTACTCCATATTTTGACATAAAATTCATCTTATAAACATATTTTGTAGGTTAGACTTATTGATTTGTGACTGAAACCTCGTTTGTTTGTTTTTACATAAAGTTTGGGATAATTTGGATGCATTTTTTTCAGCATAACAAGATTGTACTCCAACTTTTGACATAAAATACACCTTATAAAGACTTATTGATTTGTAATTGATTTTTTTTTATTTTAACATAAAGTTTGGGATAATTTGGATCCATTTTTCTTTAGCAAAACATGATTGTACTCCAACTTTTGACATAAAATACACCTTATAAAAAGTTACTAATTTGTAACTGAAACCTCATTTGCTTGCTTTTACATAAGAATTTGGTATAATTTGGAGGCATTTTTCTTCAACATAACATGATTGTACTCCAACTTTTATGGACAACAACAATAACGTACTTTATATTTTAGCATAGCACACATTTATCACGTTGTACTGAAGAAAAAATATTCTAAATTATCCTAAACTCCATGTAAAAATAGAAAAAAAAGGTCTAAAACACAACAAGTATATAGGCTACAAAATAAGTTCATAATGTGTAATACCAAAATGTGAAGTATATAGGCTACAAAATAAGTTCATAATGTGTAATGCCAAAATGTGAAGTACTACATTGTTTTACTCCAAAAAAAATTGGCGTATTATCATGTTATACTTCAGAAAAACGCATCAAACAACTCTAAACACTTCGTAATAACAAACAAATGAGATTTAAAAGAAAAAATTCACAGGTACGTTATGTCAAAATGTCGAGCACAACAAAACTGTACACCTGAAATGTTGGCGTACAACCATGTTGTAATGAAAAAAAAAATACATCCAAACTTCCCTAAATTCCATGTAAAATTAAACAGATTAAATTTCAAGCACAAATCTACAATTTTTAGGCTACAAAATATATTTATAAGGCGTATGATATGTCAAAATATGATACAACTTTGTAAAAATTTAATAATAAAAATTATTTTCAAATATAAATAAAATAATTGTGCAATGGAACTACAATATTATTCTACATATGAAAAATACATAGGGTTAACACAACATTGTAGAAGTTTTAAAAGAATTTTTATTTTTCAAATACAGATTAAATAATTATGTGCAATGGAACTACTATGATTAAAATAATGTGTGGATGTAACTTACATGAGAAGAAAGAGGAAGATGAGCCAATCATGTATCCTATGTTGTATATTGAAGTTAGTTTTTCTTCATTGCGCTCAAATCAATTTTGTAACCATAAACTAAATATTGGGCGACGAGGAGAAAGGAAGAACTCTAAACTCTAAACATGGGATGAGCTTTAGACATTAAAATTTCATGCAATGAATAATTTGAAATGCCTGAGATTTTTATCTAAACGTTTAATCGGGTTGGGCAGGGCTTCTCCAGTATTTATGCATTTTAATATAAAATACATGCTGGACACGTGCCAAATTTGGAAGTTTAATGCAATATTTGAATAGTGAATACTCAGCTCCCAAGCTAATAAAAACTTTGTTCCAAAAAAAATAGTGAGTAAGAAAACAAATTCAAACAAAATCATAAAGGCAAAACTAACTCTAGTCCGCTCCAAAACTAAGAATTAGATCTTCCAAAAAAGAATTATGAGAACCAAAAGCCAACTCTAGAACAAATTAAACTAGTCCTAAAACTCACATGGCAAGCTATTAAATGCTTTAGCGAATCTATCAACTCAAGAATATCATAGAGCTTTCCCGTAAAAGCCAGTAGAGCTGCTGAAAGTGTAAAAAGTGACCTTTGGGATGATGGAGGCAATGCTCCTGCAAAATGAAACATATTAAAGAAGCAATACCAACAAAAGAGACGAGTAAAGGTACTTTCACTGAAATGAACTAAAAGAATAATGTGCGTACAACAAACTCAACTCTTATGCTCAATAAACTATCCCATTTTTTTCTGAAGAATAAAAAAAATACCATACCATTAGGGTCCAATGAGGCATTTATAAGAGACAGTAAAAACTGAAAGAACTGGGCAGTGGTGCTATGGCTTGTATTCTGCAACAGAGAGATGCAAGATGAGAAACTACACAAACAAGATAAAGAGAAAGCTAAAAATAAGTGAAAACATAATATTGTCCATCACAAAACATTATGAAAGCTATGCACAGGCGCTCAAAACTAAAACAATGTAGGAGTGCTTTTATTATTGTGCATGCAAAATTAGGTCCAGAATGATATAACGGAAAGATAGAAGAAATGTGTTTCCCTTTGTTCTGTACTTCTGTTAACAAGAGGTTTGGCCGATCTAATTCAACTATAGCAAACCTTATTTGAGTGAGTAGAAACTGCAAGGCAACTGAATCTTTTGAAACCGTTCACGTCAGAGAAAATAGGGATTAGCCCAATCTCCTTTCACTTCGTTCACGTCAGAGAAAATAGGGATTAGCCCAATCTACTTTCACTTGTTCATTTTTTTTTTTGTTTTTTTTTTTTTTGCGAGTTCTAAAACATTTTTTTTTTTTTTTTTTTTTTTTTTTTTGGGAGTTCTAAAACCAAAACCATTTAAAATCTACTTCAAGCATCAATGTTCCATCCTCTGTTAACATTTTAGTAACCAAAGAGGGTGCAGAAACTAGGTCCAAATGATAATTATCCGCATCATAAGTATTTGTTGGAATATTTGCTTAGGATTGCCTAGGATTAAGGAATTAGTTTTATTTTCTTTAAATCTTGTTTTAAAGTTTTGATTTCTTTTAGCTATTTTAATGGACGTTGATTAGAGCATTGATTACGGAGCATTAATCACTTTCCTTTTTCTCTGTTTTGTATTGGGCGGCAATTTAAAAAAGGTGCTGTTTTTTTTAAATGTAGAACATTCAAGCTTCTTCATATTTTTTCATCCTCTTTCTCTTGTTCAAGAAACCTTCAAAAAGGAAGCTCTAAATTCTTATTTCTTCTGATACCATTACTCAATGTCCTGATCCCTTTTTTCCTTCGTGGTTGTTTGGTCAGCAGATACTCTTGCCTTCTTTGTATCGTATGCTTGGAAGGTATTCTTATTTTTCTTTCTTAGTGACCTGTCACACAATCATTCATTGAAAAATTTACATATCTACCACATAGTTCTTATGTGTTTACATATCTAACATCTACAACTTTAATATTTAATTTCATAACATTTTGGTGTCATAAAACTGTACATGAAAATGTGTATTTCACTTTTACAAAGTAAGTGATAATGCTATGTTTGATGTGAAGTTAAAAATTTGGGTTCTATGAATGTAAATGTAGAACTTTAGGTGTCAGATATATAAATACATAAGAATGTGTGGTAAGTATGTAAATGCCCTTTTATTTAGAAAAATTATTAATCCGGATGTTCCCTTTATTTATTATATTGCCAACATGGATGAATAATTTTAATTTCTACTTGTAGCTGGGTTGGCTTCAAAGGGCAGAGTGAACTATATAGGCTTACTGCCAAGTATAGTCTATCGATCGAGTTAAACTAAGCTCTAGTTAGCTGGATATGTTATTAATAGTGATTTCTTCTATGTTACTCGAGAAATGTACGCTAATGTAAGCCATATGCTTACTATTACATGTGTTAAGATGAATCAAGTTTCAATGAAATTTTCAAATTCATGTCAGCAAAATCTGCAAGAATTCAATCCTAATAGAATTTTCACTTTAACGACTCTCTTTTAGATACATCCTAGAAAAAAGAAAAAGAAAAGAAAATTTTGAGGCATTTTCGTACGCACACAACTCTTATGTAGTTACATAACTAACACCTAAACGTTCATATTTACATGCATTCTGCTCAAATTTTTGATGACATTAAAAATATTATCATGATTTATCTTTTTAAAAGTGAAATACACATTTAAGTTAATGACATTGAGGTATTAAGTGTCAATTTAAGAATCCTGTGGTATGTATGTAAATTTCTTAAAAATATTATTTCAACCGTAATATGAAGTAATACGAATCATGCATGTGTGTGTATCTAAAACAAACTTTTATGTTTATATTTATTATATTTTGGTGTCATTTGTACATGAAAAAATAAATTTTGTTTTTAACAAATAAAATAAATAAATAATAGGGCTATTCTTTTTTGTGATAAAAAATAAATAAATATTCATGATTTTACTCCTAAAAAAAAATTTATAATATATAAATCAAATATGAGTATGTCTTTGACAAATAGAAAAACTTTCGAATTTGTATTTCATTAAGCTCTTTTCTTTGGTAACTTTCTTGACCATGTGGACTCCAACGAACAACATTCCATGTTGTTTTCTTTTTTTTCCGCAGTACGGGCTTAATGCCATTGAGCCCAAAAAGAATTACTCAATGGTAGAGCTGTTCCTTTTAACCCATTTTTGGACTTTTGAATTGGTTGTGGGTAGGAATATTCGCTTTTGATATTGAGGTTATTGAACGTAGTTGCTATGTCCTCGATTCAATATTTTTTTATTCTCATTTATCTTGTAATTAGTGTCCTTCCAAACCATTTTAATGCAGCCTCGAATATATATCATACCGACCATAGCGTCAGCAATGAGGATCTTTACACCAACGAGCTGGATAGTGACCATGAATAGTGGGATTCCACAAGAGAGTACTCTTATCTTTAAACAGCAAGAGAGCTCCTTTGGATGTCAACCACCGTGATAATTAATAGTAGCAATATCTTCTTCCAAAATTCAAAATAGATTTCATTTCAATAACATTTCTGCCTTTTTACAATGTCCTTTCGATAATGGTTATTTTGATTTGAAACTCAAATATCACCCCCCAATGCTCACACCATAGAATTTCTCTTTTTGTTGGGATCTTTCGATGGTGGATTCCCGAAACTAAGATCCAAGAGTCATGTATTGTTTCAAAAGCTTATAAAATTTTTCAACCACAAACTGGAAAACTTGTTATAAGCAGAGATGTTCACTTTATGGAAGATGAAGAATTAAATTGGGATAAGTCAAAGGAAATCAGCCAAATCGTAACTGATACGCGGCCCGAACTTCCCACTTCAAGCATGGATGAAGGAGAAAATTGGCAGAATGAACTGGAGGAAGCTCTTCCTGTAAGAGGTACTAGACTACTCACTGACATTTATGCAAGATGCAACATAGCTGTATGTGAACCTGCAGATTTTGAAGTTGCTATGAAAGATAAAAATTGGGTGGCTGCAATGGAGGAGGAGTTATCCATGATTGAGAAGAACAAAACATGGGAGTTGGTTGATCGACCCCAAAACAGGAAGGTAATTGGAGTCAAATGGGTGTACAAAACCAAGCTTAATGCTGATGGCTCAATTAACAAGTACAAAGCAAGACTTGTGGTTAAAGGCTATGCTCAAGTTTTTGGCGTGGACTACTCAGATACCTTTGCACCAGTTGCTCGTTTGGACACCATAAGACTTTTACTTGTTATAGCTGCTCAAATGAATTGGAGAGTGTATCAGCTTGATGTAAAATCTGCTTTTCTAAATGACATCTTGCAGGAAGAGATACATGTTGAGCAACCCGAAGGTTTTGTGAAGAAAGGAGAGGAGGACAAAGTTCTTCTTCTCAAGAAGGCTCTTTATGGATTGAAACAAGCTCCAAGAGTTTGGTACAGCAAAATAGATGAGCATTTGTTAAGCTTAGGCTTTAAAAAAAGCCTGTTTGAGGCTACTCTTTCTGTCAAACATCAATTTAATGATGTTTTGATAATTTCTCTTTATGTTGATGATCTTTTATTGACAGGAAATACTATAAACCTGGTTGAAAACTTCAAGCAAGAGATGATGAAAGTGTTTGAGATGACAGATCTTGGGTTGATGA